AAAAAAAATGTCGCGCCCTCTGAGGGAAAGCACATGTTTGCTCTCTAAGTGCTGATCTTTCATTTTTCTTATGCCCGATATATTCGATCACAGGTGTATTATTATTATTCGCGTCATTGTGATTTTAAATAACTTCTGTTCCTTTTTCTGTTCGTTTTTTTTTTTTTTTTTTTTTAGTTGAAACGTTTTTTCTTTTCGTATTATTGTTAGAAAAATATTCGTTGAATGATTTGTTGGATGTTTCTTGAAAGATGGAAAAAAGACTGATTAAGCGAAATCATGAAGTTTGATTGAAGTTAGAGACATAATGTTCCACCACCTTCGTATTAGATTGAGTTGTGTTTCTTTCTTTTTTTTTCTTTTTGGCGTTTTAATTTATTTTCCCTCCTCGACCATTATTAAATAGGCGCGTATACTGATCGTCTGTTACCTGGCACCTGCAAGATGGCGGAAGTTACCGTCGAACCTAAGCTATTCGTTGCAGTGCACGCGTAAGTGCCAGCGTCCTCTGAAAACAGAGACAGAAAAAGAAATTCTTTCGTTAAAAGAAATTTAATTAGCTCAGATAGGGTAAAAAAAGTATTGTGTGATGTAGTCAATATTTGGCAATATTTTTCCATTCGTATTATAATATAAATTCGTAATATAAATATAATAAAATAAATAGCACGATAGAAATAAAATAAAATAAAAATAAGAAAATTTAACATTAATTGCCAACGAAAACGACGATTCAATAATAATTATTTGATGCTAAAAATTCACTTTAAACGTAGGACACTGGATTATCAAAGCAGACTTAAAAATTTCAAGAAAAATAATCTCTTTCTTTTTAAATTGATAAGCGAAACTAAAGATCCAGTGAGAAAAAAACATGTCATCAATAATTGTGTTTAGAAAGTTTGCTTTAACACGAGTTTCTATTTCTTTTACAGATTTTAGAATAATGAAAGTGAGACGAATATCATTAACAATGAACTTTAAATAACTAGATAATATCGTAAAACGAAAAATACGTTTTCCAGTATCTTTCAGAGATTAAATATTTTGCCTCGCAGAAAAAAACGAAATGAAAGCTTTGCGTGGCAGCCAATCTCAAAATTGATATTTCCATCCGTTTGCTTCAATATTTACAACTTTTGTATTAATTGCGTACCAGGAAAAGCTCGCACTATGGTCAGACGACAAACGCCGTTACGATAATGGATCTCGTAGCACGATGAATTCTCGATGATCCTGCCGTCCTTGGACCAGAGGATGTTCGGTTGTGGTTCAGCCTGAACGATGCACTCGAATCTCGCCGTCTGTCCGCTCACCACCGCGATGTCTCTCAGTGGCTGAAAAGAACATTTTCGTCACGTAAATCGATCGACTCTCGACTTCTCTTTAACCACGAACGTTTAATTAACAAGTGTTGTTCGAGTTACCGTGATGAAAAGCGGTGCCTTCTTCGGTAGTATATCTAGGTAAGGCTGAATCACTTCTTTGCTCGAGGCCACTCCATTAGTGGTTGGCCACGGTGATCCTAGAATAATCAGCTCGATTTAACACGAGTCATTTAAACATGTCTCGGACTATAGCTCAACATAATCGGAAAAGTGTATCGACTGTAGTAAATGTGGTAAATTCAAGAGAGAGTAGACGTTAAAAATTGTGTATCAAGCGAAATTCGGAAAAGAGAATGAAGGGGTAGAAATCTCTTTTGCACGTGTAATATTCTCAATGGAAAAGAAATAAGTTGCGAAAGAGATCACAGTAGAACAGAAAATTTTTCGGGATATCGTGGGAAAGCACGTCAAACGAACGTCGATATCTTTCGAAAAGCAAAGAAATATATATTACGCAGTGGATAAATGAAAATTGAAGAACGCATACGTGTGAAGTAGAGAAGCGTGTCAAACAAACCTGATGTTCTTCAAGAGCAAGGAATCATTATATAGCGAATAAACTGTGGAAGAAATCAAATTGGAGAATGCACACGTGTAGAGCAGAAAATGGCTGACAGAAAAGTGTATTAAGCAAGCTTGATATTTTTGAGAAACAAGGAAACATGGTGGACATGAAGTTTGGATGAAATCTCGAAATTTTCAGAAACGAGGAGATAACACGAAGCAAACAAGGTATAAAAAAAATGGAAGTTTGATGCAATTCCAAGAAATAATTTTACGCTCCACGTGCAACGAAAGGGTGAATTCACGAATATTGGATTCTTTTTTCCAGGAAACGGAACACAAAAGTTATAAGTAAGAGTAATAATCCAAGGGCAGAGTCACAAGTTTCTTCACAACTAAACGTATCATTCACCTTACAAATGCTAAATAATATTTTCCAACAATTATTGATTTAAAATATCTTTCAACATTTCTTGGAAAAAAAAAGAAGAGATTATTTCCCCCCGAACTAGTCAAAGCGTCGCGTAAAACAAACTCCGTCAAACTTC